AGCCAAGCATAGCATAGCATAGCACTGGGTTTTTCGCCCTATTATGAAGCAAGTGCTAACAATAACTTTCTAAGCCTTTTTTTTCTTTAATCACCTGTCGTTTCGACCTATTTTGCTTCTGCCTCAACAGGTGCTTAGTTACGTCGCAATTTCTTCGTTGGTGTTATAAGCTGTTGCTTCTTGATCGACCATTCCTACTGAGGGATTATAGTAATTTGTGCAATTCTGATTTTTTCTTACTATATGCATTGGCGGTTAATCTGATTCGCTCTTTTCCAGAAGTGACTCGTGAATGCAGGACCTTCCGTGAAGTCGTCGACTACGAACTCCCAATTCCTTTCGTCGAGCCCGATTTCATCTTCCTGCCCTAACGCGCCCTTCGATACTTTCGTGGATGCGCACGCTACGAAGGTTTTTCCAGGAGAGGAAGGTTTCGCTGGGTTCCCACAAGTCTTTCTCGAGATTTTCTTTTCCCTGTGTGAATACTGTATTTTTGTCGCGAACTTCGTACCGACGCGTCGGTACTTGCTCCGTCGAGCGTCTCGACGCGCTAAGAAAAGCGAACGGCGCAGGTGAAGCCTTCGTGTGGGGGAGAACGGCGACGATTGCGCGAGAGGAAACGCCCCGTCTCGACGACGAGAGAGAAAGCGAGCCGAGTTCGGGTGGCTCCTCTCGCGTGCATCCTTGTGACGTCACCGCACGCGCGTGTATTCGTCACCCCCGAAACGCCGGGGAGCGGGTTGCAAGACGAGGCAGTAAGTATCGGAGTTTCTTGCAGATGCGTGGATCCGAACGACCGACGACAACGATCCGAAAAACGACGATTTCGCTACGAGTGGCAGCGCCGACTCTTCGATGCGAGGCCGAGTTCGTCACGTCGGCAAGTCGACGGAGACGGACGGTGCCGAGAGGGGAGGGGGAGGGGGAGAGGCTTTTTTCCAAGCTGTTCCGTAGGCGCTGCCGAGGCTTCCAGCATTCCGTGGCGGCGTTTTCGTGCCGGCCTGTCGGTCGCTCGCGGTTCGATGTGTTTCGTCGACACCTGCATGCCCGAGAGTGACGTCGTTCGACGACGTGGTTGCGTCAGACGTGGTCTTTTTTTTGCTGGCAGCTACGAGCGGCTGGAGAAATGGACGAATGGAGGTGCTACGAACACGTTTTCCTTTTTACACACGAGTGTCGTGTGTAAAAAGGAAAAAAACGCTTAGGCTCCAGTCGCTGACTGCGAGGGTGAGTCTTCTCGAAGCATCCGCATTCCGAATGCCCAGATCTGACCCGGATGCAGTCACAAATTGCGGAACTCGAGAGCAGTGTTTCTCGACCGTATTTGATGTGTAGGAAGAAGATGCAGAGGCCCCACTCTTCGCGGCACACTTTCACGCGCGTTGGCCGGAGCATGTTTTTTGAAAATTGTAATTCCATGATCCTGCGACCATATATATATATATATATTTTTTTTAGCGTGTTCCGATACCGGTGAGGGAAGTCTCGTGGCACACCGGTCGAGAAACGCTGTTTGAAAGATGAGATCGAACTCCCGGGTGCACGGATGGCGCATCCAGCTACACGACCGGTCGGTGGGTGGAAATCTGGGTAGTGGTATAGTACGTGCCCACGAGGATTATTCGTTGTCGTGACCATCTCTCGAGGGGTTAAACGCAAGCCCTTAGGGAGGGAAAGCTCAATATTGATACAGCTGAAACATGCGAAGAAAGGGGAAGGGGAGGAAAGTGTTGCGAGAGGCCGATCGGCCGAAGGCGTCGTCTGGCCCTAAGCCTGTGGCAACGCCGAGCCCACCGATCCCTTGCGTACTTCCCTGCGATCGGAAACGATACGCGTCTACGCAGTCGAGACCGTTCGCTTCGACCAGAGGTGTCAAACTCGAATCGGTCGGCGGGCCGCATTACTTACCCTGCAGATGTCTGCGGGCCCACACCCATAACTTTACGTTGAAATTTGTGCCGAAAGTCAATCCAAGCGGAAATTTGAGGAACCGACGGCGGGCCGGATGTTTGACACTCCTGGCTTAGACCCGCCATTCCTGGCCCTCCCATCGGTGGCGCCGTGTCGAAAGCCGCGATCGGTAATTCCTTCGAGTCGTTCAATCGGTCGGGCACAGCCGCGTCGTTTGCACCGAGTAGGCTTCCGAGGTCTCGTTGGTGCCCAAACGTGGGTCTAAACAGACAATTTTAATCGTGTGGACACGTACTACCTCGATGGCAGGTACTTAACGTAGGGAGAGGTAGTCTCAGGGTGGTGCCAGGTGCTTTCCTGGTCAGCCTCGTCGCAGTCTTCCCCTCCCCCTCCCCCTTCTTTCCCCTCGTAAGTCATGTCCACTGAATGAGTACAGTCGATTTAGTCATGACCATCTCTCAGGCGTACGTAGGATGAGAGAGGTGAGGGGGGGGGGGGGGGCTACTCGGGGACTCAACACCCTGAGGCCCCCTCTCTGCCATCGGTATAGTACGTGTCCACCCCGAAGTTCAAACCAGGTCACAAAAAGTTCCCTCGTTTAAACAGCTTTCTCCGTACTACTTCACACCGCAGTTATTTGTCGAATGCGACGTCGTCCTCACACACTTGGCCGAGTATCGGTGGAGAGGACTCGACGGCGAGACTCCGTTCTGGGACGTTCTCGCCGAGATCAGACGGCAGTACCCAATGTCGTGAACCATCCTCGACTTCAAAAACCTCGTTCGGTGCTTTCGATGTTTCCGAGCTCCTTTTTCTGACGCAGTAAATGTGGGTCTAAGCGGACGGTCTTCACCTAATGGACACCTACTATACAGATGGCAGGGGCCCTCCCACTTTTTTTCCCTTCAGGTACTACAATACCATTCCCTGGAAGGCCTACTAGACTGAGGATCGTGGAACATTTCCCCTCGGCGTTTCAATGGGCCTTGTTTATGTAAGTGTTATACATCTAACAGGTCTGTGACCACTCCCATCTCGATCACGAACAGCATAGATAACACCTGGGGACAAATCGTGTGACGTCGAATTCGTAGGAACAAGTTTTATCTCATCCACCGTTGTGTATACAGCAATGGAATTTATGGCTTGAGCATTACTGGCCCCTTTTTAAGTGATGGCTTGGTCCATTTTCCTTTCGATCGATCGCGTTGGGGTGTTGGACCGAGATCGGTATCGTCCACATCTTGGTTTTAGAAGCCAAGGTATACTTTCCACAACACGGGTTGTGATCGGCTTTTCCGTCGGCAAACGGAAATAAAGTTCACGTCAGCAATGGCATGGGGGAAGAATCCTGTGCCTACGTCACAGGAGGACGTTTCTGATTGGTGGAACAGTAAGAACGAAGGGACGTCTCCGATCGGTGGAACTCGGGAGTTCTTCGCCTGCACTTCATTCCAGTGAAGAGTGACATTTTAGCTTCCAATCTGGGTGAGAGTGGTTGTTGTCACTGCCCCTCCGCGTTTTCCGTTCGTTTGGTCCTCTGACGTTTCCACGGATGTTGAAGGTTGGATGCGTTTTCAACTTTTCACTGAAATCCAGTAAGCAGTGAAGTAGCAGCGACTTTGGTTTTAGACGGTACGTTGGTTGATGTAATTTAACTTCTCCGTAGTGAAGATTGCTGACGTGCAAGACAATTCAATATCCTAGACCTAAAATACAGTTCGGGCCCCCTTAAACGAGGTCGAAAATAATCTGCAAGCGAGTCTTCCCACTATAAACTTTCTCCATGTTCGTACTATGCATCGTAGCTTTGCCGACTTCATCGAGCCGGCAGTGATGCGGTGGCCGAGATGTACTTTCCCTTAGTTACAATAGATGACACCCCATTCCTTCTTGAGGGCTCAGGGCATCCAGATAAATATCGGCTAATCGCTGGACATGCTGCCCATTGAGGAAAAATAGAATGTAACTGTTACTTCAATATGAGTTTGACCCCCAGGGAGACAGCATTGTGTCAAGTTCAAGTATCGATTCACTTCATTTTGTAAACTTTTTTTCCCCTGCTTTTGCCGACAAAAATGAAGAAAGTAGCTGTTACCGGAAGTTAAAAGGAAAAACGGGAAGCAAACTCTCACTGACTCACTTGGTTTTAGATATGATCATTTGATTTCTGGAGGAATCACTCGCTTGGCAGCGACACTATAAACAGAGCCTTGCCGTAATAATTTGACCACTCCCATGAATGAGCATGTACAACCCTAACCTTGCGTTTTCTACACATGGCTAAGTATAAGTGGGCAGATAATTGTATATTATCCCCATGCCAAAAACAGGCGCGGACCCCGCGGTATTTCTCCGCTTACCTTAATAAACCCCAATGTCCCTTTTTTTTTAAGATGGCGGCACTACATGCTACACCTCTCGTAACCAGTCTAGAAGAGGAATGAAGCCAAATTCGCGCACACACTCGGCGCTTACGTGTTGGCGACGTCAGATGTCCGCGCGCGCGGGACCGTTCTCGACAGGTCGACGGGAAGCATGCCCCACGCATGAATGGAGGATGGAAATATCACTCCATCGAGTGCGTTTACGTCATGCTGGAGCCAAACATTGGGCCAGTTATGTCCCGATGGTGCCGTCAATGTTCAACTGTATTAGGTTTGGCAAGTCCATGGTTTGCTGCGTTGCAGGCTATGTCGTAAGCCTTTGACACCTCTGCTTACACTTTTTTCGGATTGAATTCGTACCCCTGCTCTCAGGAGAACCATCGATTGCTGGAAGTGACATTTTCTAAAAGAGGGGTTTCGTGGAACCTCCAAAGAGTTTGCGGTCGAGCCAGAAGAGGCTTGTGCTACCGAAAGAAGCGACTCGAGATTCTACTCGACCACTCCTAGTCATTGAAGATTTCCAAAAATATTTTAAAAAATTTCGTGACGGCAGGCAGCGACACCACTAGTTTTTTCCCATTTGACGAAAATTACGAACTTCTGTTTATAATAAATCCCAGTTGTTTTCGTGGGTGCAGAAGGCGCCCTCGCTCTGCAAGGATTCTCGCCCATGGCTACGCCGCTGTTTCTGCGCGACATGGGATCATTTTTATCTGTTACGACGGAATTTCTGTTATCGTCCCTCGCATGTCTCATTTCTCGGGAGACCATTTTACGAGCCGAGCCATGGCGAGTCCCGGTTCCCTGGCAGACCTGGCAAGCCTCTTCGAATGTCCGGTCTGCTTCCACTACATTCTCCCCCCGATCCAACAATGCGAGAACGGACACCTCGCGTGTCCAACGTGCACTCCCATCCTCACTTCCTGCCTCATCTGCAGGGGTCAAATCGGTGAGTCCATCCATTCTTTTCGTGCAAAATCCCTTTAATATTACGAGGCGTATCCGATTCAGGAAACATCCGGAACCTGGCCATGGACAAAGTGGCCAGCACCGTGCTGTTCCCCTGCAAGTACACCCCCTCCGGCTGCACCGTCACCCTCCCCCACACCGAGAAGACCGACCACGAGGGCAGCTGCGAGTTCCGACCTTACTCCTGCCCCTGCCCCGGCTCGTCCTGCAGGTGGCAGGGCTCCCTCGAGCACGTCTTGTCTCATCTGCATCGCGTTCACAAGTCCATCACCACCCTTCAAGGTTTTTCATTCGATTCCTGTTTAAATAACAAATGGATGGGGAAGGATATTTCCTCCATATTATTTTGGATTCGCGGATTTGAACCTGCTCGTGTTGAAAAGAATGTACTAAAAGTATTTTAAGTACCACTTTACTGTTATCTTTTAAAAGCTACTGATAACTGCCACGGTATCAGTACGACCGGCCTCCTGTACATATTTGCCGATCTATTCGCAATGTGGTCTGCTAACAGCATGAGTATCTACTCGAACTCACTTGGTCTCATTTGCAACCAAATTGTATGTATCATTGGTTAAATTGGATTTAGAAGAATCGGATGGACGGCAACCAAATTCCTGTCATGGTAATGCTAAGAAATGAAATTGAATTTCTTATCCATGATTTTACAGGAGAAGACATAATATTTTTGGCAACCGACTTCAACCTCCCCGGATCGGTGGACTGGGTCATGATGCAATCCTGCTTCCGACACCATTTCATGCTGATCCTCGAGAAACAAGAGAATGGTGGATTCCAGCAGTTCTTTGCCATCGTTCAGCTAATAGGTTCCAGAAAACAGGCCGAAAGGTTTGCCTACAGGTAAGCCGACATGATTGATGCTAATATAATAATTGTGCTAATATTATCGAAAGTTGTGGCATAGCAGTTCCTAAGAGGAACTGGTAAACCACATATTTTAGTTACAGGTAATACATTAACAAGGTAAACTAGTTCATCGTCAGCGACCATTTGTTGAATTTCCGAAAGTCACAAGTCATTCCTTTTGCGAACCATCGCCACAATGGCTTGTTCTTGGTCTGCTGTCAGCCTGCTTGGCCTTCCTCCAGCACGAGCCTTACGGGTTGTCCTACCCGAATGAAGTTGCGCAGGATCACATTGGTATACAATTTAAATATATAATAAGACTCTTGTCGAGAAATGCGAAATTTCGGACCAATACCTGCTCGTCTTTCGAAAGTTAGAGATTATGGTGGAGACTGTGGACTTGGAGAGATGAGGTTGGACTCGTTGCCCTGCTTCAGTAAGTGTTAATCCACGATTGACTACTAAGTCAATCAGAGTAGCCCGAATCTGGTCTGGGATGTGAGCTCTTTTCTTTTTTCTTTTCGTCTGTGATTTTTGTTTCGCCTTCCCCGACATGACAATTTCTGTGCGAACTGCTGAGAACAATTCTGTGCATTCCGAATCAAAATTGTGAAATATATTGATGGACTTGCCAAGAGAATACGGTGTGATAAACTTTAGGGATCTCATGTAAGCCCTAAAAGACCGAATATGTCGAATCTAAAAGATCGAATATAAATTAAAATTTCATAGCATAGGAGCTTTTTTCAGGAAACAAACGCAGGTTTGTGAATGCTTCCTGAGCCCAAAGGTTGATTTTTATTTTTTTCGAACTTAACCCTTTAATGCATGACGTAGCAGGATATGCTACATATCAAATAAGCAGTTTTAGAATGCGCAGGTATTGAGCTCCTGAGGTAAATCTGTTCGTAGCAGATGTGCAACCGTCCGGTTCTTATACCTAGCAACTATGCGGTCACTAGGTGCCATACACTCCTGCTGATAATCAATTTTAACCAATCTGGTTTCGTCGTATGGCAAATTGACGCTTTTGATTTAATTTTCTTAAACTTTCCGTCAATCCAGGGTACAGGCTCATCGTATTTTTACATTTTCTTTTGTGTTGAGGTATATACGAATGTTGACGGACCGACTGAGCTCTCTAGCATCCATGCAGCATGGGTTAGAAAGCTGAAAATGCTGTTTGTAGCAAATGAGCAACAAGAACATTTTCAGGCCTACAGCTTACAAATTAGGTTTTAATAAATGTTTTCCACTTAACCCGTGTTCTAGGATGTGAGTGAAACCTGCCAGATTTTTTTCGTCTTTCAGACCTGAATTAAGGCCACTATTGAATAATATTTGCATTTTTGTGCTCTTTCTCTCTTCTACCTTAAATTTGGATGTTCTATATATCGTTCTTATATTTTGTATTAATTTACTATATATTATATATTATTAATGTAATTACATAACTAAAGATTGCAAAACTGACTGGTGAGAGAAGGCCTCCGACGGAATTGAGCCATGCATGAATTATTGAGTCCAATGTAGTGTAATATGGGACGGAAAGTTGCGAGAATCCCAAGAAATTACCGTAGAAATAATGGAAATGCAATGTCCATTGGAATAGACACTGGGTCTGAATGGGTTGATACTTAGGGTATTTTATATTGCGCTTCTATTTTACTGTTGAAACTGCATGTTGGATGCCCGGGATCGAGAAAACTATGGGAGCTTTTCGCAACTACAGGCTCGGCTAGGGCAACGCACTCTCATAGACGTATCATTTCTTGATGGATGGCTATTTTCAAAACTTAACGTACCCA